CATCCCACCCTCGCCTTCTCCCACAGAGTCCAAAAGTCTGTTCTGTACATCTGTGTCTCTTTTTCTGTTTTGCATATAGGGTTATCGTTACCATCTTTCTAAATTCCATATATATGTGTTAGTATACTGTAATGTTCTTTATCTTTCTGGCTTACTTCACTCTGTATAATAGGCTCCAGTTTCATCCATCTCATTAGAACTGATTCAAATGAATTCTTTTTAACAGCTGAGTAATATTCCATGGTGCATATGTACCATATGTACCACAGCTTCCTTATCCATTCGTCTGCTGATGGGCATCTAGGTTGCTTCCATGTCCTGGCTATTATAAACAGTGCTGCAATGAACACTGGAGTGCATATATCTCTTTCAGATCTGGTTTCCTTGGTGTGTATGCCCAGGAGTGGGACTGCTGGGTCATATGGCAGTTCTATTTCCAGTTTTTTTGTTGTTGTTGAAGTAGAGTTGGCTTAAATGTCGGTTTCCAGTGTGCGACACAGTGATTCAGTTTTTCTCCGGGTTACATCCACCTTAGAGTTGTTGTAAAGTACTGGCTACACCTCCGTGCTGTACGTTACATCCTATGTGTCACTTGCTTTGTATCTGGTGGTTTTTACCTCTGTCCCTATTTTGCCCCTCTCCCCAGTCTTCTGCCCACTGGTAACCCCTAGTTTGTTCTCTGTGTCTATGAGTCTGTTTTGTTATATTCATTCATCTGTTTTACTTTTTACATTCCACATATAAATGAAACACAGTATTTGCCTTTCTCTGTCTGACTCATTTCACTTAGCATAATACCCTCCAGGTCTACCCATGTTGATGAAAATGGCAAAATTTCATTCTTTGTTGCCTTTGTGTAATATTCCATTGTCTGTGTATGTGTGTGGTTGTGTATCACACCTTCTTTATCCATTCATCTGTTGATAGACACTTAGGTTGCTTCCATATCTTGATTATTATAAAAAGTGCTGCCATAAACATTGGGGTGTATATATCTTTTAGAATTAGTGTTTTGGTTTTCTTAGGGTATACACCCAGGAGTGGAATTGCTGGATCATATGGCACTTCTATTTTTAAGTTTTTGAGGAACTTCTGTATTGTTTTCCAGAGTGATTGTACCAATTTACATTCCTGCCAACACTGTAGGCTTCCCTAGTGAAGCCTTTACCTCAAACGGTAAAGAATCTGCCTGCAGCGTGGGAGATCTGGGTTCGATTCCTGGGTTGGGAAGATCCCCTGGAGAAGGAAATGGCAACCCACTCCAGGATCCTCGGCAGGGAAATTCCATGGATGGAGGAGGCTGGCGGGCTACAATCCATGTGGTTGCAAAGAATCAGACATGACTGAGCGACCTCACCAACAATGAACTACATTTCCATTTTCTGTTTCTATTTTTCTTGTTTTAGTCTCTTCCCTTGTGGTTTGATGATAAACATAATATCAAATATGTTTGTATTACTGTCTCTTTAGTTATTGTATATCTATTGTAGGTTTCGATTTGTGGTTATGACGGAGTTCATACAAACTGACCTATTACTGTATCTACTACTTGTATAAAACTGATAGTTATTTAAGTTCAAACAGGTTCTAAAAGCTCTACATTTTTTTTCATTCCTCACCCACATTTCATGTTTTGTCACCATATTTTATACCTTTATGTCTGTCCTTTAGCTATTTATTGTTATTTTAGTTGATTTTACAATTTTTGTCTGTTAACCTTGGTTTGTATTAGCTTATTTCGGTGGTTGATCCGATGCCTTTAGTATATATTTATCTGGGGGAGTTTTTTCCTTCTAATAATTTCTTATTTCTTATTGTAGACTCTTTTTTTTCACTTGTTTTCACTCAGAGAAGACCCTTTATCATGTCATTTAGTGTCAGTTAAGCATTGGTGAACTCTTAGTTTTTGCTTATTTAAGAAGTCCTTTATCTGTCCTTTAATTAAGAATAATAACATTTCTGGGTACATTATCCTCGATTGTAGGTCTTTTGCCTTTTAGCATCTTAAACATATCATACCACTCCCTACTGGCCTGCAACTTTGCTGCTGAAAAGCCAACTGATAGCCTTTTGGGGGTTCCCTTGTATGACTCTTTATTTTTCTCTTTTAACCTTTAGAATTCTTTCTTTATCTCTAACTTTCCAATTTTTATTATGCTATATCTTGGTGTGTGTCTCTTCGTGTTCATCTTGTTTGGAACTCTGTGCTTTCTGGGCTTGAATATCTGTTTCCTTCTTCAGATTCAGAAAGTTTTCAGACACAATTTCATCAAATACACTTTTTATTCCTCCCTCACTCTCTTTTCTTTCAGGGACCCATATAATGTGGATCTTAGTGTGCTCATTCATTAATACTTAATAATGAAAAAATTTAAAAATACAAATTTACCTCTGAGCATAAATTTGGCCATATTGCAAGTGTTTGATATGTAGTGTTATGATTGCTGTTTCCTAAGTAGTCTATAATTACAGTTTGATTTCTCCTTTGCTCTAAGTTTTGTGGAGGGAGTTTATTTTCAGGAAGGTGCATTCTTTTGGTTCATATTTCCATTAATAATTTCTATTTCTATTGCATGTTGACCACAGGAGATTAATGGTAAATTCTCAGTTTATTTATAGAGAGTTATTTTGTGGTTTCCTATATAATCAATTTCTGTAAATAATGTTCTGAGCACGTGAAAAGGAAAAGTGCAGTATTTTAATTTTCTTAGGTATAGAATTCTACATACACATTTATTTCATTACCTCACAATTAAAATATTTCTGTTCCCTGTATTAATTTTTTTTTTTAATGAGTGATCCATGGATGAGCTTCAGGAGATCTGTGTGAACCTTTTTTTAGGAGAAAGCTCATGGGTTTTTCAAGTCCTCAAAGGGATCTGACACCCAAAACATTAAGAAAGTTTTCTCCATCTTGATCTGTCAGAGTAAGAAAGGAGAGCTAAATTACTAAATATTAATATAACTTAAAATCAATGATAAAATTATCCTTTAATAAATAAAAATTATAATTATTTATTAATATACTGGATTCCTGAGAATGATATTGATATTTACTACTGTCCTTCATATAAATAGTGCTAAGTGGCATTGCTTGCTTTATTCCAGGCCCTTGAATGAGATTTACAAGGAAACCTGGCTTCTGTAGGACATCAGAAAAAGGTCTGAGTCCCTTTATCAAAATTTATTCTGGAACAACCTGTTCATATGTATTCCATTTTGTCTGTGAGGTTTGTATTCAGTCTTTTGCAATCTCCTTGATGAATTCAGGCCTTCCCTGGTGACTCTGGCGGTAAAGAATCTGCCGGCAATGCAGGAGATTTCCTGTAATGCGGGAGACACGAGTTTGATCCCTGGGTCTGAAAGTTTCCCTGGAGAAGGAAATGGCAATCCACTCCAGTGTTCTTGCCTGGAAAATTCCACGGACAGAGGGGCCTGGTGGGCTTTAGTCCATGGGACTGCAAGTCAGACACGACTCAGGTGACTAAACCAGCACCACCACTCATGAACTCATTTCTTCTTTTAACACTCCTCCCCAGTTAGTGCTCTGAGGAAACAGTTCCAATTTTGCAAGCTAATCATGTCCTTACGGTGACTCAGTTCAAAGTCATGTGCTTCCTGAAGTGAGGCAGAGCGGTAAAGGCATCAGTTTCCAGACTGAGAGTGACAGCCACTTAAAACCGACAGCCAAATTACCAACTTACAGACGCACACCGAAGCGAAGTATCTGCTGACAAGCAAGTCGTGCATTTTCAAACAATGTGCATGGAGAATTTAAAGTCCACCTTAAAAGAAAAATTGAAGAGGTCTTAAGAGGAATAGTGATGATTGAAATTATGACTTAATGCTCTTCAAAATTCTCTATACCTAATCCTTAGGAGTATTAGAAATTCTCGGGGCTGATGTATCTAAAAGCTTCTATGCACAATACTTTCAGGGCCCATGAAAATATCTCAATTTTAATTTTCTTTAAAAGCTGAAGAAAAATGACATAATAAAGTATATTATATACATATATTATACATATAATAACAATAATCATATATATATAATAATTAATCCAGCATGGATTATATTTGCCTTTATTTTAATGTAGTCATAATTCATAAATATATATAAATATAATATAGATATGTATATTATATATAACATACACACACATATATTTATATCATGGGTCCCATTTTTTTTTTATGGAAGAAAAAACCCACGAAGGCCAAAGTGCCTACTTCCGATGAAAATCAAAACAGGGCCATGGGATTAATGATTTGCTCAACATGGTGAGTGGCCAGTATCTAAGGAGATGCCTTGGTGAAGGTTTTTGATATGTGCTTATAAATGGTTTTGAGGCTTTTCTTAGATTATATTCTCTTAGCAGAATGAAAATTGAGACTGTGTAGCCTCTTTACTTCTGTGCTTCTTTTTTCCTGTTTGCTTCACTCTAGCTCTTTCCACTCATTGGAAAACTGATGCTGAAGCTGAAGTTCCAATACTCTGGCCACCTGATCCGAAGAACTGACTCAGTGGAAAAGACCCTGACACTGGGAAATATTGAAGGCAGGAGGAGAAGGGGATGACAGAGGATGAGATGTTTGGATGGTGTCACTGACTCGATGGACATGAGTTTGAGTAAACTCCGGGAGTTGGTGATGGACAGGGAGGCCTGATGTGCTGCAGTCCGTGGGGTTGCAGAGAGTCAGACACAACTGAGAGACTGAACAGTTCTTTCCACAAAATTCTTTTACTTGCTTAGCTCTTGCACATAGCTCAACAGTCCCTAGCCCCAACTCAACATCAGATATACATACCACTGATGTTGGTTTTTGCAGATCTGAGTTCAAATTTTCTGCTACAGCAGCCTCTAGTCAGGTGTTCACCATACATCCAATCAGCTGTAGCTTTATCTTTCCCCTCACCTTCTTCCCTCCACACTCTTGCATGCCCTTCAAGCCCCATGTTTTGTATGGCTGGCCCTCCTTCAAGCTGTGTTGGGGCAGCTAATGAAATGTCTTCTACTCTACAGTTTTAATATAACTCAATTATACTCAGAGCAGAAAACAGTTACAGGAAAAACAAGCCTAGTAGTAAGTAGTGGTCTACTATACTTATGCTATTATACATTCTCATGCCCTGATTGTCATTTTGCCACCTACTCAGCACATGGAAAACAGAAGGTTCCTCCCCAGGAAAGGCCAATTGCAGTGACTATGTCCAATCTAGGCATCCATGAAGAGCCACATTTCATAATCAAGCAGGACTCCTGCCTTGAGACTAAACCATTCTCTGAAGATTTACAGATATCCTACTAAGTCCCATTTTTGCTGGATGAGTGACCTATATGAGTAAGTATTCACATCGCATACACTTCCTATCACTTTGGGATTGTAAAAAGCCTTCTTCATTAATGGTTATGTATTAGGAACATCTGAGTAGGTATGACTTTAATAGAAATTTAAACTTTATTTAATTATCACAGTGTCACACACCTTTCTACCTTTGTAGAATTTTAATACTCAATAAGCACAGTATTGTTTCACTATAAAAAGTATGATAGATGCATAAAAATTTGGTATTACTAAGACATATATTATCTATCTGAAATAAGATGAACAACTATGAGATACAAAATTTTCATCTGTCATATTTTCCATTTATATGTGTCACTTGTATTTAAATTGAAGGACAGGAAAGCTTATGGTCCTTCTTGATAAGAAGAAAGCCTCGAGCAGAAAAGAACCAATCAATGACAGTTTTTTTTTTATTTCATAAAATCTTACTTCTAGAAGTAGGAAAGGTTCTGTAATGGATATAGTATCAGCCATGACTAAGTTTTGAAGAGGAGAATCTCTTCAAGTTTTAGAGAAAGGAATTTTTGTAGTTTACTGTACCACTGGGAGGCCAAAACAGCTGCCCTCTTTTTTGAGGGCTGAACTTTCAGTGTCAACTCCCAAGATGAAAATATGGAACTGGGTCAGCAGAGCAGTTGCTTCTGCATTGGTCAAGAGACTTTGCATTTTCAGGAAGCTGGTACCCTAGTGCCTGCCCCTGGACACACTGCCTCTCTGCCAATGCTACTGTCCATGCCAGCCAAGTGCTGTGCCAACTTGTCTCTCTTCCCATACGGCTTAGTTATGAATCAAGTCTCATTTGACTACACTCACGTGAAGCCCTAGCTGCAAGGAAGTCTGAAAAGTGTGGATTTTAGCTTTCTGAATTCTGTATGTTAAAGGGGGACTGAAATGGGTTGAATGAGCCAATTTAGGGTACTAACCATGGGCATGTGGTTGTGTAATATTGAAAACTGGAGTGACATTGAAGGTGCAAATCAGATATGACCATCTGTGGGGTTTATTTTTCCCCTTTCGGGACTGGAATAGTATTCATCACAATCTTTGGTTTATGACACTCTCATATCAGTGACATATGTATGGACCCCAAATTTCTTAGTAGAATAACAAACATCATAGACCCACCCACCACCAAAATAAAAGCTAGGTCCTTGACAATAACCTACTTGTAATCAAATATCCCCTGACACTCCCATATTCTAGGAACTCATCACCCTGAATTTCATATTTTATTGTATCTGTATGCATGATTACAAAGTGCCTTTTTAGAAAGTTTAGTAATTTCTGTATCGCTATGAGAATACAATCAAACCCAATGCAACATTTGATTCTTACTATTTTCACTGAATATCCCATTACTAGATTCATCTCTATTTTAAAATTTCACTGTAGTTCATTTCAACTGTTGTATTCTATTGCTGAATATGACAATATCCATTATGTGAATATTCATCCATTTTTCTCTTAATGGACATTTGGACTGCTTCAAAAATGTTTTAAAATTTATTTTTGACTGTGCTAGGTCTTTCTTGCTGTGCAACGCTTTCTCTACTTGCAGTAAGCAGGAGTTGTTCTTCGTTGAGGGACACAGGCTTCTTACTGAGGTGGGTTCTCTTGTTGCAGAGCACAGGCTCCAGGCATGCAGTCTTCAGTAGCTGGGCACACAGGCTCAGTAGCCGCAGATCGTGGGCTCTGGAGCGTGGGTGCAGTAGCCATGGTACATGGGCTTAGTTGCTCTGTGTCGTGTGGACTCTTCCCTGGCCAAGGTTGGAACCCAAGTCCCCTGCATTGGCAGGTGGATTCTTATCTACAGTACCACCAGGGAAGCCCTGCTTCAAGATTTCGATGCAAATAGTGCTGCTGTAAACATCCTTTACCCAAATATCTTGTACCTACAAGAGTGTTTACTGGAGTATTTACTGAAGATGGAATTACTGGGTCATGGGAATTTTTTAGTGTGAAGTTCTACATGTTGAAGGTCATCAAAATATAGGTTAATTTTCAGCCATGTCTGGTTTAAAGGTAACAAATCAACATAATCATTAAAAAATATGAAGGACTTAGAATTTTTTTCCTCAAAAAGCCTATATTCCATTGGAAGAAACAATTAAAATTTTTGCTTTGGTATTTTTTGGTACCTACTTATCTTCTTAACTACTTTTTTACCCAGGGGTCCAACACATATTTCCTACTCTCAGTTGAGAGTGATCAACTAATAGAGGTTCCTTGATACTCAGTAAACATTCATCCTTCTTAGATCACAACCTTAGGACTCTTCCATTTCTCCAAAACCTCTTCCTATTCACAGTACATTCTCTTAGACACTGAAGCCCAAAACTGTTCTGCCACACTGTAAGGACATCTGGGGATTCCAACCACAGTAGTAGGAAATTGATAAGGACACAGAGTGTCCATTAATTCTAGGTTGATTTAGTGTGACATAATCATCAAAGTGTGATCAGGCTTTTGATTTACGTCAAGCTGCCTAAGCTCTAGAGAGAACCCTTATTTCATATCTGTCATAGGAAAAAGACTCCGATACCAAGATTTGTGTGCATGTGTTTTACTGGGAGGACTTTCAGTTACAAAAGCTGTCACAGAGTGAGGAAAGCAGAATTGAACAAGAGAAGTTGAACCACAGTACAGTTTCAAGAGAGACCTCAGCTGAATTCCTGGGTAACTCCGACACTGAGATGAACCTTCAGAGATGTCCTGAACTCAGCAAGGGGCTAAGACCTTTGTCCTCCATATTGACTAGTTACAGGATACATGCTGCCCTTGGGAAGGGGTGTAGGCTTGAGTGAGTCAGCTCCCTCTGACCAGAGGTGATTCATGAGGCGGGCCTCTTGGCAGTTGAGAGGATAACTACTCAGTCCTGAAAAGAGTTCTGTGGAGAATATCACAGCATCCACATGAGTCCATCTCTGGGGCTATATGGATCCATTTGCTCCTTAAAATTTACCCCATCTTAAAACAACAGCCTTAGGGTCCTTGTTGGTTTGTTTCCTTGGGGAAAGTCACAAAAGGAAAGCTACTGGGCTAAACTATAAGCCCCTGCAGCTTATGCTCATACTAGTTCAAGCGATGCTTCCTCCTCTACCTCCCATTCCAAATTCCCCACACCTCTGCTGGTCTGGTGTCTGACCTAGTGGGCCAATTTGGACTCTAATTCCCATGGGATGTGAGCCCCTAGTTAACATGCAATTCTTAGGCCATGGCTATTAACTAAAATTAGACAAGACAATAATAAGGGACACTGCAGTGATACATCTGGGTGCTATACATATTCTTTCTCACTCCTATTGCATAAGAACAGCCTTCTCTCCTCCTGATGATAAGGGTCAATTATTCCTGGCAGGCTGGTGACTCCTTTCTTTGTCTTCTGGACCTCGCAAAACCCCAAAGAAATTGGATGACACACATAACTTAGAATTCAATGGGACCCCTGCTTATCACTGGGTGAAAGCATTCTACAGCTGGGAACACGAACTTCTATCCATGTAGAACCTAGAGCTGTGAAGGTAAAAGAATAAATTACTCCAATGGGCCACTGGGGGTGACGATAATTGGGACCACTGCTACGTCTGCTCCTTTCTGGAACTGTGTAGTCTACACAGTGGGTCCAGTACCTTATAACGATCATTGGTTTAGCATATGTGTGGTTGCCCTTTAGTCACTAAGTCATGTCTGACTCTTTTGCGACCCCATGGACTGTAGCCTGCCAAGGCTCCTCTTGTCCATGGAATTATCCAGGCAAGAATACTGGAGTGGTTTGCCATTTTCTCCAGGGGATCTTCCTGACCCAGGGATCCAACCCATGAACCTGTGTCTCCTGTATTGTAGGTAGATTCTTTACTGCTGAGCTACCGGTGAATAACTTTAGCATATATATTGGGCCCTAAAGGATGGTACTGGAGAAGGCAATGGCACCCAACTCCAGTACTCTTGCCTGGAAAATCCCATGGACAGAGGAGCCTGGTAGGCTGCAGTCCATGGGGTCGCTAAGAGTCGGACACGACTGAAGTGACTTAGCAGCAAAGGATGGTATACCATACTCAAAAAGCATCATCACCAATCTGGCATCTCAACTGTGCCTTCAAAGAGCTGTTCCATTGTTCTATTAGGCCAGCATCCTCTGGGTGGTGCAATGTGGAAAAGGACCATTGGATCTCATGGAACAAGCCCCTGTGCCGTGAATCAGGTCTCCATGCTATGCGGGATCACATGTAAACAGATCAGTTAATCTGTGAGCCTTCAGATAGTAGTGCTGGCTGAAGACATGCAGGTAAAAAACGCAAACCCTCACCCAGAATAATCACTGATTCTAGTCAGGGTGAAGTGCCAGGGTTCAAGTGGTCTCGTTGGCGGGTTAGTCTCTCCTAGGAATGGTGTAATGTCAAGAGCTGAATCCTGGTCTCTTTTGTGGACAGGTTAAATGCTTCACAGCAGTCGTGGTTGTGCTGGTCTTAGAGAGTGGGAACCTGTGTTTTGAGGCCTGTGAGTAGCCTATATCCTTGAGGACACGGCTCCTCCTCTTGGGCACTCACTGTGCTGCTCCTGGGCTGCTGAGTCGTTCTGTCTGCATTTTGGTTCAGTGCCTCTTTCACGGCGGAAGTCTCCAGTGTGGATTAGCACGTCATACAAAAACCTTCATGCTTTTCATCCCCTCCCCAGGTCGATGGACATGCATGCCTCTTTCCCAGTCCTCCTGGGCTGCACCCTTTTAATCTTTCTCCTTCTAAGCCCCTGACCAGTGAGTTTGCACAGACACACATACACACACATGAATCTCAGGACCCTTGTCTTTCCACACGAAGTGTCTGATCAGGTACATTTTCCGAAACTTTTCTCCTTGGGAGCATTTCCCTTGACTGTTGCCTTTTGCGCCGTTCCTGACTGGGGCTGCAGTGCATAGCGGCCTAGTTTCAGTTTCACTGACATATTGAGCTGGCTCACCAATG